ATTCCTGCAGTGGTGAGGCCATGCCTGTCAGTCTTAGTATTAAAAAGTAGATTAAGAACATGGGAAAGGCCATACCAGGTCAAATCAAAGGTCCATCTAGCCTGGCATCTTCTTTCACAGCGATATAAAAGCAGAAAGAAGATAAAAGTAGAACAAATTATATTTGCCCTAAATACTATCCCAGACTTCCAACAAGTTATAGCTTAAAGGGTTTCTGGAACAGAATTTTCTACCTCATTTTAAAGTATGTGCATTTAAAAAAAAAAATATTGTTTACTTTGAACGTGCCACCTGCTAGCTTTGTCTGATACCCCTGGTTCCTGTACTGGAAGAGACGAGAAGTATTTGCTCTCTAGTCCCCATCTCAATACACTCATGATTTTATAAGTTTTAAGGAAGGGAGAGAGGGAAGGAGGGAGAACAAGGGTTGGAGGAAACAGTATAGCAGAATCTTTAACAGGTCTGATATTTAGGCAATTCAAATTTAGAAAATACCAGCATGTACCAACACCTGAGACTGACACAACACTCAGGCAAACCAGAGTGCCTTGCACCAGTGTACATCTTCACAGTGTCCATATCCTAGCTGTTGTCACTGCTCAGACTAAGTCTCTCCATCGTTGGAACTTTTATCTGCTCATTTTTCACTGCCACGTTATTTTTTAGAAATCACAGGTATTGTGGCAGCATCACCACAACTAGTCTTGCAAGCACAATTCTGTAGTGCTCCTGAAACCTGTGTAAGGATAAGACCATGCAGTGTCTCATGTGGTCCGGAATAATTTCTTGGAAGTCTTTTGTACACACTGTACAAATGGACTTTTAGGATAAATATGGTTCAATATAGCAGTGAAACTTCCTGCTCCAGGGTATAAAAGTTATATAGAAAATAGATACTATGTCTTTTTATAAAATGCTTGCAAATTAGTAGATACTCTTAAATAGATATTCTTTAAGTCTCCTCAAACAATATATTGTTATTCTCATATACACTTTTTTAGGCAATCTGGAAGAGGAACCAACTTAGACTGCACTGATATACTCAAGATGAAATTTTAAGAAGAGACATAAGTTAATTATGTATTTTTGTTGTGTTCTGAGTTGTTTTGGATAGTGATTCTAGGGTTTGCATGAATCAAGACTGCAGAAAATAGTCTGTAATTTTGATGAATTACTGATGTTTTTCCTGTCCCAATTTCTCTCATCAGTGTTGCTAGTAACAATCCTTGTAGTGGAAGGGATTGCCGTTGCACAGAAGACACAAGGTACAATTCTGATTTGATGATTTTATTTTTTTTTTTAAATGTAACAGTTTTATAATGTTTAATTCAGCAACATAATAAAAAGTATTTGTGTTCAGGTGTTAATAGCTCTTGAATTACCATTTGACCAAAGCCATCCAGTCACAAAGAACATGGAAGTTCACTTAGTTAAATTCTGTGGGTTTAGATCTCAGAGGTGGGAAAACACCACCAAAGAAATTCATGTTTACTGTATCTGACAACAAGCTTTTCAAATAGTCCACCCACAAACATTTCTGAAGCCTGCTGAGTGGGGAAGGCATCAGTTTCACAAACCATATTTTCTCTTATGTGGGATCAACCCCCATTTAGGAGAGAAAAAATTCTTGAACTGACACCTACAGAATTTCTTTGAACAACTTCTGCAGGAGAGACTAAGTTTTCACCCCCATAAATCAAAAAAGCTGCCAAGATACCAGGGGAAGGTGATGCAATTTACTGGAGACAGCTAAGACCTGTATCAGCATGGATTCTCTCTCAAAGGCCTGCAAAGAAAAACTGCATAAATATAAATAACATTATGAGAGCATCTCTGTGAGCTTTAGGAAAAATCTAGCAGATGCCACATACCCTGTCTTATTCTCTCCAGCTCTGCTGATTTCAAGGAGAAAGACCAAGGGTACTTAAGGAGAAAGTCAGAGAGATCATACTATTCCCAACTGCTTTCTCCTTGGATAAAGAAATCAGAACAAAGCTCCTGTGAATGGTCCAGCATGGTGCACTAGTTTAGTAAACTGCATAATCTCAGTCAGGGAGCATATTTCCCTGTACATCTAGAAGAGAACTGATCTTAAATGAGGCCCTTACCTACTAGTGCAATCTACCCGTTGCTCATAATTCTGTTAACTACCATTGCTGTATTGAGTGTGTTTACATACTATAATTCATTCTGTTATAAGGATTCTCTATTCCAACAGAGTATTGTAAATAGATATTCAACCTAAGGGCCATACAGTATACTCTGGAATCAGCTTTTATTATTTTTGCCCCTACAGATGTTTTGGATTATAAGGAATCTCCACAAGAATGGAGAAGACATAAGCCATAAAATCATGCTGCCATATTGGCAGCCACTGTGACTATTTGACTTCGAAAGAAAAGTGTCTTCTTTCATAGGATATGCATTATGTCAGTGTTTTACTTTTGCAAAATCAAATTTGCATGCTTGCAGGACAAATTTATTTTATCGCTTTTTTTTTCACTTAAGGTGGGCAAAATATTGGAGTGAATCGCATTCCTCCTACCCAGTGTGACAACTGGGTACGCACAAGTAATGGAGGACACTTTGCTTCACCAAACTACCCTAACATGTACCCACCAAATCAAGAGTGCATCTATATCTTAGAAGGTATATGCTGTATTTCTGTTGTGTTGTAAACTTACTGTTAAATAGATGATCTTAGACTGTTAAAACTGTGTCATTTTACTGTAGTGTCAAGTACCGTATAGCCATATTGATAATATAATCAGTTCTGTAGTCATTTGGCTGAACAAGAAGCTAACTATGCTCTCTGAAGTAAAAATAACAAATGAATAGAAAATGCAAACATTCAGGAATTAGCTATATAGAATAAGACATACCATTACAGCCAGTAAAAGCAGCATCAGATCCACTGTAATCTGTGATGGGGCAGAACTATTACGACAAAAATTGTAACTTGTTATCCTAATATTGCTTCCAGTATTGCTGATAATAAACTGCAAAAGATGGTTGAAGACTATCTTCAGCATTTACCAGACATGTTGTGTTGTTCTGTCCCACCAGCAGAAAATCTATGCTGTCCTTTATTAATAAAAACGACACATCTGACAGCCATAGCATTGTGCTAAAAATATGGAGATTTTAGCACTGCTGAGGTTACAATTAGAATAATGTGATGAGAAAAAAAAATTTCATTAACCAGAATAAAACCACATTCTAATGAGAGTGTCTTGGATAAAGGCTGCAAGACTTGGGACACTAATTATTTTTTCCTCTTATTAGAATGCACCCAAAACCCACTGAAGTCAGCTAAAAATGTTAGCTCAATCATCAGATTCATATCAATTAATTGAAATATTTCAAGTAATACATTTCAGTGAGTTTTTATTCGTACTGTATAGTTGTGGTTCATCGACATCCTCATTTCGGTTTGTATGCGCGCACACCTGAAGTTTTGCATCTTCCCTGCAAGTGAAGGCACTGGAGAGTAGATCCATCCAGCTTCAGAGTGCCATCATACCAGGTCTGCTGCTGGATCTCTGTTGTGTGAGGAAATTTCTATGGGGCACAGAGTCAGTTTCCACATCTCTGTCCTCACAGTCCTTACACAGAAACATTAGGGGTACCTGAGTGAGACCGAGGTCCTCCACAATTTCTAGATAGGATGCAGTCCTTCCTACAGACCACTGCCTACACATGCAAACAGCTACAGATGTTTTTAACTCATGTGTAAGGCATGAAGTCTAAACAGACTGTTAGAAACAAAAAGTAAATCTTACTTGCATTCAGAAGAAGTAGACAGCACGTGATTCTTTACTGCTGTCATTCCAGATACCAGTTAGTATCTGAAGCTCATGTAGCTCAATAGATGACGAGAAAACAGTAAAGCTGTTCACACAAAATAAACGCTCAGTTCCAAACTACACATATGAAAGTCTTGTCACAAAGTAGCCATAGCTGCCTCTCATATAAGGATTTAAGGATCTGATCCAAAACTTGATGTGAGGCTGTGGCTAGTTCAGACTTGACAACATCTGTAGTAGCCTACATATTAACAAAATATGTGAAGCATTTACACTCTTCTGAATGTTCTAATAAAAATTGTCTCCTGCCAATGGATCTCCAAATTTGGGCTTATTGTTTAGGAGATGTACCAGTGAATAGTTCTTCATATCTTTTCTACTCTTTCCTGCATCCTGCAATGTTTTGTCCTTTTTTCCATACTTTGCTTTCACAGAACACTGGCTTTAATTTGTATCTTAATATTAAACGTTGTTTGAATACCTTTGCATATATGTTAATATCTGTTACATGTGCTGCATTAAATTTATGTTATTTCTGAACTTTCAAGAATAAAGATCAGCAAACAAACAAAAAAACTATTAAAAAGTATCTTCTATGCAATAACGTTTAAAATTTTTTTTATTACAGTGTATCTGAGTTTTTGTATCAGACTGCCAGATGTATTTTAAGAAGTGTCCAGTTTCTTCTGTCCTGCTGTTCTGGAGGCCTGTCTCTTATTTCATGTCTCCATGTGGTTTTTCAATACAGATCTTCATTTAACATTTTGCTTGATTTTTGTATGTCTAGCGGCTCCACGGCAAAGAATTGAGTTGACCTTTGATGAACCTTATTACATAGAGCCCTCATTTGAATGTCGGTTTGATCATCTGGAGGTTCGAGATGGACCTTTTGGTTTCTCCCCTCTCATTAATCGTTACTGTGGTCTGAAAAGTCCTGCACTAATTAGATCAACAGGGAGATTTATGTGGATCAAGTTTACTTCCGATGAGGAGCTGGAAGGAAAGGGATTTCAAGCAAAGTACTCGTTTATACCAGGTAAAGATGCCTAAAATTCTGACCAAATTAATAACCATCTGCTCCCATTGAACTCTGTGGATGTGTTTTGCTGGCAGTTTAAGAGCTGTATTTTATCATGTTTATGAATGCAAAGTGACAGTGCAATAGTTACAGTCTCAGTCCTGCTAATCCTACAGCATACCTGACTAAAAAATTGACTGAAGGAAATTACAGGTCTGTAGTTTCTAGTGAAGAACTTGGTGGTCCTTGTTCATGCTGAAGGCCTTAGCAACTCCCTTCTTTGTACCCAACTTGTACCAGTTTCACCAGTGGTAGTAATGAAAAGTGAATTTAGGTAGACAAATAGCTGTATTATTCAGGACCCTGTCTTCTAGGAATGTGAGGCACTGACAAAAATAACTTAAGCAAATCTACAATAGCACTTCCAGCCAGATGAAAAACATTTTAAATCTCCATTCTGAAAAGCCATAGGAAACATTTATACTGTCCAAGCGTCAGCTCTCAGTATAGATTCATTCAAACCACAGGCTCAGGCAACAGAAATGTTCTTTGCTCAAAGTACTGTGTAGTTTACAGGATATGAAGGAGAGAATAATATATTGACAGTGCCTTTAGACAAACAAAAAATAGATCTTTGCCGTGGGACCACTTAAAACCAGCAAGGCATTCTTTTTACAAGAAAATTTGACCTGATGTCCTTGCACAATGCTTGACTCCTCTGCTTCATATATATATATA